TACACTTCCTTTCCACAGCTCTTCAGCCACTGCCGTAAACCAATCACGTGTGTCGTAGCTTACTGAGATAGGAAGTCAGAAACAACATACAACGTCAAAACAGTAGCAAATTTTGATAAATGAACTGAACAATTAAATAAATAAAATTAATTAAATTGATTTATGTATTTAATTACATTAATTTAATTAAATTTTAAAAAGCGAATAATTCTATATTTTAATTAAATTCTTTAAAAGTTCAATATCACAAATTTACTTATTGGATTGAATCATACATATATACATACACACACACACACATACATACATACATATACATATATGATTCAATATACTGGAGCTCCCCATCAAATCCATCAGCCTAGGGTACAAGCAAGACAAGGCACGCCTTGTATTGGAGCTAAAGGACTCAGCGGACCCACTTATAAGGAGTGCGAAAGTCCCCATCCGCACAGGCCGCAAATGGAAGGCACAAACTGAAGTACAGCATGCTATCTCTAGTCTGCAACATCGAGAGGTGATGGGGTTAGTCCAGACTGGGGAGCGCCACAGCACCTCTGGTCTAAAGCCACCGTGAGGCAGCAGAAGACCATGGTGGTGGATGAAATTACCACTGGAGCAGGAGCGCTTCCACGTAAAGGCAATATCCCAGGGCAGTCAAGGAGTCTGGACGCGATGGGATGTGAATGTGAACAGGCGCATCACCTGGACAGATATCTGGAGGGCGCCACAATCCAGGCTCAGCTTTCTGTTAAGGGCGACCTATGACACCCTCCCGTGCCCCCGGAACCTCACCCAGTGGTTTGGAGACGAGGTAGGCTGCCAGTCAATTAAAAAAAACTGGTTTTCTGTAAGGGGTAGGTTTAGGGTTAGGGGATAAAAAATATTGTTTGGTCAGTATAAAAGTAATGTCTTTGGAAAGGCCCTACAATTCAAAACAAACGCGCGTGTGTGTGTGTACCTTTTCTTTGTTTTGTTTTTTGGTTTCAAAAATTATTTGAAACCGTAACTATTATTTTTACAGAGATGCTAGGTTTTCAGTGTAGCCTCAGACTTTGCATGCATAGCCTATTTATTTAGACTTTTTGTTTGTGTGATTACTACGAGATTTATAACCCGATTAAGTAACTGTACTAATATCACATACAGTACATAAATTATATTAATATTACTACATAACATTCAATTTTGCTTCCTCTTCCTTTACCTCTATGATACTTGAAATCGACATTTCTCCCCTATCTCTTTCAGACCATAGTAGTAATTATTTGGCGGGATTGCCATGGGGTGTGCCATCTCCCCCATTCTCGAGGTAATCCTCAGAGGGGCCAGGCAAGTTGTCAGGGGCATCAAGCTACCATCAGGCGAGAGGCTTCCATCATCAAGTGCTTTGACAAGCTGCTTAAGTGGGCAAGAATGAAGAGCAAGGCTGAAAAATCAAGAAGTCTCTCGATAAGGAAAAGCGTGCTGCATGTCAGGACCATGTTCGTCGTTGGAGGGGAGCCCATTCCTCGGCTGGATGAGAAACCATTGAGAAGCCTGGGGAGGCAATACACCGCAGATTTATCCGACAGGCAGATGGGGAAGCTAGCCAGGCAACAACTTGCAAAGGGCTTGGCAAGAATTGAGCAAAGCCACCTGGCTGGGAAGCACAAAGTGTGGTGCTATCAGCACATATTATACCAACGTGTGCTGTGGCCTCTAAAGGTCTATGAAATTCCCATATCGGAGGTTAGCAGGATGGACAGCCTCGCCAATAGCTATATTCGAAAGTGGTTGGGCTTGCCCCGCTGCTTTTCAGATGCAGGTCTCTTCGGCTGGAATATGCTGGAGCTCCCCATCAAATCCATCAGCCTAGGGTACAAGCAAGACAAGGCACGCCTTGTATTGGAGCTAAAGGACTCAGCGGACCCACTTATAAGGAGTGCGAAAGTCCCCATCCGCACAGGCCGCAAATGGAAGGCACAAACTGAAGTACAGCATGCTATCTCTAGTCTGCAACATCGAGAGGTGATGGGGTTAGTCCAGACTGGGGAGCGCCACAGCACCTCTGGTCTAAAGCCACCGTGAGGCAGCAGAAGACCATGGTGGTGGATGAAATTACCACTGGAGCAGGAGCGCTTCCACGTAAAGGCAATATCCCAGGGCAGTCAAGGAGTCTGGACGCGATGGGATGTGAATGTGAACAGGCGCATCACCTGGACAGATATCTGGAGGGCGCCACAATCCAGGCTCAGCTTTCTGTTAAGGGCGACCTATGACACCCTCCCGTGCCCCCGGAACCTCACCCAGTGGTTTGGAGACGAGGTAGGCTGCCAGTCAATTAAAAATGTTAATCTAATTAATTACATGATGTGTCGATTAATTAATCTAATTAATCGCAAATTACATTTGGCTATGAAAATACCCCCAAAAGATTATGTAATGCTATTTTTTGTGTTAAATGAGAAAGTATTAAGTAGACATTACGAATAGCAGCTTTAGAAAGAAATATTTTATTTGATTCAACATAAACAAAATTTACATATGGGCCTGAACGTTTAGGCTACAACGGCCCAACATAAACTATGGAACATAAAAGAAGATAATTTGAGAAATATGTTACAAAGAATGTTCATATTTTCATAGCCAAATGTAATTTGCGATTAATTAGATTAATTAATCGACACATCATGTAATTAATTAGA